GCATGAACACACAGGAAGATCTGAGTTATAGTATAGACAAAACAAAACATTTCTATGGAATTGTAAACATCTTTCCTATACTTAAAGGCTTTTTTCCCCCCAGTGTCAAAGTTATATTGCTTAGTCTCTCAGGGTCTTGGACTTTTCAGCAGTAAATCAAACTTAGTATAGAACAGCATAGTATCTGCTCCAGTCACACAGTTTCTTAAGGTTATACAGTAGGTACCCAGAGGAGAGTGTACGTGTTGTCATTCTTGCCGCACTTAATATATGACATGAAAATTGAAGGCTTTTTGCAAGTTATCCATGAACTCAGGCAAGAAGAATAGCATGTTATACTTCATTCCTCACTTCTTAATAAGATTAACTAATTGAAGGTTTGCCAGTAGGGAAACTTGAGCTCAGGAAAGTTGAGCAACTTCTCCATGTCACACAGGTAAAAGTGAAAACTTGATCACTAGACCCATTTCTGTGTCTCATTTCCCTCACCCCTCTCCCAACCACCACCTTTCTGAAGATGCAGGCCTGAGAGGCTGTTGGCAGGAGACAGACTGGAGAGGAGAAGCAAGAGCCTTCTATAATCTCTGAATTATCAGGAGTTGACTTAATTGAATAAAGAACTGGGTAAATTGTTATAATGGAAAATATCACCATAGGAATGCTAGTATGGCAGTAAAGACTTGGTATGTCAGGAGGAAAGTACAACAGATATTTGGGTCTCCTCAAATGATTAAGTCTTAATGAGGATTTATAATTTCTTTTCTTTAACAGAACAAACCTGTAATGGCTTTTGGACTGATAACCCTTTCCCTTTGCGTGGCTTATATTGGTTATCTACATGCATCCCAGGAGAATACAAAGGATCTCTACGAAGCTATTGATAGTGAGGGACACAGTTATATGAGGAGGAAAACATCTAAATGGGATTAACAGTGCTGGATGCTGCAGACGGAGCTTTGCTAAAGGCCCTGAAATCTTCTAATGGAAGACTTTGTGAGTGCACAGTATTATGCTCCTTGTTCTAGAATGTGTTAATGAGGAAGGAAGGTAGCAGTTGTGAACGGACCACTAGACTACATCTCATCCTGCAGCCCTTACCCCATTCTTTGTTCACAGCAAGAGCTTCTCAATATTTTTCTTTCATGAAGTCCTTGTATGAAAGTGCCATTAAGAATGGAAGTTGTTTTTGTGAATTAACTTCTATATAATAAAAATATAGTGCCGGTGCTGTTAAATTTGTATGGTATTTTTAATATTTAAGATGAGTTGTGCATTTGCAACTGTTTTAAGGGTTTAGTTTTGTTTTGCTGTTTAGAAAGGCATTCATTTTTTCCTGGCATAGAACTTATGTTTATGACAAAAAAAATAATTGTAATTATTATGAAGCATACAGTCAACATTCAAGACAAATAATTTTTTTAATGTTTATTTCTGAGAGAAAAAGAGACAGTGTATGAGTGGGGGAGGGCAGAGAGAGAGACACACAGAATCCAAAGCAGGCTCCAGGCCCTGAGCTGTCAGCACAGAGTGTGATGTGGGGCTTGAACCCACAAACTATGAGATCATGACCTGAGCCGGAGTCAGATGCTTAACCAACTGAGCCACCCCGGCGCCCCCAAGACAAATAATTTTTATAGAGTCACAGATGGCTCGTATATTTTGGCGTTCCATTTCAGCTACTTTGGTCCAGAATTTTATTTCATTTGAAAAGGTAGTCCCACTCAACTATTAAAACAAATAAATGAGAGAATAACCCAATTGGAGTTTTTCTTTGAAAAAAAAAAAGTATATTATACTGAGCTATGGTGTTTTTATTTGACTACAACCAAATGTTACCTATTTTAGATTTTGTAAATTAATGTTACAGTGATATTACAAACATAAAACCAAATTTTCTTATGGTTATTTTAGAACTAGGACTATCCAACAAATAAGAAAAGAAGGTCTTCTTACTCTCTTGGGTTTACCGCATATAATTTAGATTTCTCTTACAAGGGTTTTGGACCTGTAGCATGTGTAGATTTTTATCTGTTTTCCAAATCACTATAATTGGGGCTCAGTAATAAATCTCATCTATGAAATTTTGTTTCATTTATTATTGCCAAATAACAATTACTGTATAAGCAGAGTTTATCACCATAGTGTGAATTTTTTTTAATTTTTTTATGTTTATTTATTTCTGAGAGAGACAGAGACAGAGTGCAAGTGAAGGAGGGGCAGAGAGAGAGGGAGACACAGAATCCAAAGCAGGCTCCAGGCTCTGAGCTGTCAGCACAGGCACAGAGCCCGTTGCAGGGCTTGAACTCACAAACGGTGGGATCATGACCTGAGCTGAAGTCAGACGCCTAACTGACTGAGCCACCCAGGTGCCCCACCATAGTGTGAATTTTTAATTTCTAGTACTTAATTGTGATTTGTAAGCTATATGAAAATGTAATTATGTCTTGTCTGTAGATATTAAAGAGCTTAAATAACTGAGTTATCTGTACGCAACTAAATCAGAACTTTATTCCTGAGCCCTAAATATTTCTTTGCTATGTCTCTCTATATAGTACACTTCATATAGTTTAAAATGCACTTAAGTAATGTAAAATGCCTTTTAATTTAAAGTATTATATTTTGCTTTTGGTTTCCCTGTGTACTTTGGCTGTTAAAGAATTAGAATTCTTCCGTTTTCAACTTATGCATTTAATATTACACCATCATTTTTTAGAATTTCTCTGTTATTCAGAATAAGTTGTTATTTGTTGGGGGAGATACTGTTTAGGTGAACTATCAAGAGACCATCACAGCACAGAAGGACAGCAGGAAATACAGCAGCCTTCAGCCATGTGACATCTATGTATGGGAATGAACCAAGGTAGCAGTGGATTCAGGGAGGCAGGTGCACAGCTGTGAAAAATACTGGGAGCGAAGAATCACACTGAATTTTAGGAACAAGTAACCTATTATACTTATTACAGGATAGTTACAAGTTACAGCACAGGCTTTGTGTGTGCAGAGAGTCAAAGGCTGCCTAGCTGTGTATTGATGTTCTCATTCATTCTCTGAGGGAAAAATGCCACTTGGACATTGTGTCTAAGAAAGGAATGGTCCAGGCGAGAGATGTACAGCGTTTTGGAATCAGGGCTCAAGTGGTTAAAGGAATGTCTTTCAGTGTGAGAATCTGGTTGAGACTGGGCAAAACTCAGAAACTTAGTAGATTAGGTCTTGAAGCAAGTCTCGATAAGTAAAATATTAATAAGTGGTAAGTGACCTTTTTGCCCAGGGAAGTAATCCATTCTGATAGGAGAGCTATTTGCCCAGAGGAGCAAGCTGTTCAATTGATAAATTGGTTTTCAAGAATTTCCTGAATAAACTGTGAAGTTATTTATTGGTGTAGCCTTATCCTCCATAGGGTAACCAATCTTTTCCAATTTGTTAGGCATGGAGGTGGTTCTTGGGATGCAGGACTACACATTTTAAAACAAGGACAACACATTAGTTAACTGCGATTTTAAAAACCAGGCTTATTAATTTTGAGTGCTAATGGAAAGTAACTTTTCCTTTAAGATACTGTGATGTTTCCCAGTTTTATTGCCATGGCACCAAAACATCACGTTTATAAAAATGTGAATTTATTGGGGCACCTGGATGACTCAGTCGGTTAAGCATCTAACTTTGGCTCAGGTCAAGATCTCACAGCTCATGAGTTCGAGCCCCATGTTGGGCTCCATGCTGACAGCTCAGAGCCTGGAGCCTGCTTCAGATTCTGTCTCCCTCTCTGCCCCTCCCTTGCTCATGCTTAGTCTCTCTCTCAAAAATAAATAAACATTAAAAAATTTAATTAAAATATATTAATTTATTAATTTTTCTCCTTTGCTGGGCTAAAAGAAATCAATTCTTTAAATAAAACATTTAATTTTTTTTAATGTTTATTTATTTTTGAAGGAGAGAGACAGTGTGAGTGGCAGAGAGACAGGGAGACAGAATCCGAAGCAGGCTCCAGGCTCTGAGCTGTCAGCACAGAGCCCAACATGGGGCTCGAACTCGCAACTGTGAGATCGTGACCTGAGCCAAAGTCGGACACTTAATGACAGAGCCACCTTGGTGCCCCTTTAAATAAACCATTTAAAAGAAAATGTAGGTTGAAAAATGATTCCCCCTGTTCTACCCCACCCCCAAAGATGTTCAGATCCTAATTCCTAGATCCTGTGATTATGTTACCTTATATGGCAGAAGGGACTTTGCAGATATGATCAAGTTAGGGATTTTGAGATGGGAAAATTACCCTTTATTATCCAGATGAGCCTGATATAATCTTAATCCTTATTAAGAAGGAGGCTGAAGATCAGGGGAAGAAGCATAGAGGTCCATGCACACAGGGGGAGAAAAGCCTACATCATGTGAGGCATGAGCCAAGGAATTCAGGTGGCCTCTAGAAGGTAAAAAAGGCAAGGAAACAGACTCTCCTGTAAAGCCTCCAGAAAGAACCAGCCCTGCTGACACCTTAATTTTAGCCTCATAAGACTCATTTTGAACCTCTGACCTCCAGAACTGCAAGAGAGTAAATGGTGTTGTTTTCAATCACTAAATGTGTGGTGATTTGTTACAGCAGCAATAGGAAACTAGTACAGAGAGTATCTGGGAAATGAATGGCTCTACCATGCTCCCTTTCCTCATTATTTCTAGTTGCTTTTATGAGCAAAGCTTGTCTTACCTAGCAACAGTTGCTAAGTAAGTTAACAGTTTAGTGCTAAAGTCTGGAAGAGAGCCACTGCTTAAATCTTCCCAAATCCAGTGCCCATACCTTATGTGGCAAAGGCTTTTAGAACCGTTCTTTACCATTAGGCACATAACCACTACCTAATCATGGCGAATCATTTCATCCTTACCAGCCTCTAACATCGTCCTAAAACCTTGATCCTCTTCTAGCTTCCTTAAACTTCCAGATTTTCTTAAAACTTTTATTTCTGATCTTAAGAGTACTTTAACTGCACATAGTAAAAGACATCTTAATTATGATCCGAAATCCGAATTACACGAATTTTGTTTGCTGTGCTGTTTGTAATAAAATAATTCCACCAGCCCCTTTGGGGGAAACCTTCAAACGGATCCATGAATACAAGCCATTTAAGACACGCTTTTACACTCACAAAGATATACTGGGTAAGTAAATGCTGTTTTCCTTTGTTCTAATATTTGATAGCATTATGTGCTATTCTTTCTGCTATATTGACTTTTATCAGCTCTTCTGATCAAAGTTGCTTGTCTTGCAGGGGTGTCTGTTTGGCATGAAAAGAATATGGGTTGAAATCCAGCTTCTCTGCTTACCAGTTGTGTACCTTAGACAGTACACTTAGCCTTTCAGTGTGTTTCCTTATAGAGATGTTGGGAGTCCTACATTAAGTAGGGATATTAATACCTCTCTAGCAGGTTGGTTATGAGGCTTTAATGAAATATTTGTTGGCATATAATAGTAAACAGGAGTTCTATTTGCCCTGGCCCATACTTTGGCAACTTCCTTACACATAGTAGAGGAAATACCTCCAAGTAACACCTTAATAAATAGTGAAGCTATAACCTTTACTAGTAGCTGGTGACATAAACATAGGTAGCATGGAGATAACCTGAGAATATTTACTATACAAGCAAATCAGACTGTAATTACAGGTTTCCTTCTCTCCTTATCCCCATCAGAGTTTGTAGTCTGACTTTGAGCCTTAGAAATGTTTTCCTAAGGACTCTCCAGGTATTTCTCTGATCCTCTCTTCCTTTATACCTGGTAAACTACTGATTTAATTTCACTCTTGATCTTTGAAAATATGAGAAACTAAAGAATGGAGAGTGTTTTGAAAAAACTACAGTACAGGGAGAGGTCAAATTGGAATCATCCTCTAAAAACATCAATACCCAAACTGACTTTAACTTCTAGTAAATGTTTAGTGTGACTTATTAATTACAATCTCTGATATGATTCGGCTTTTTACACCCAGGCCAGTGGATACCCATTCTTAGATATGCATTTAATGATTGACTTCTTATGCCTTCTGAGATATCTGAATCCAGATAAGCAAAATTAAATCTAACTAGGTAGAAATTAATATTTTATATACAGTGAACTGTATTTGTCATTGACTTTTTTATTAAAAAGTTTTTTTAATGTTTATTTATTTTAGAGAGAGAGAGAGTGCACAAGTGGGGTTAGGGCAGAGAGAGAGTGGAGACACAGAATCTGAAGCAGACTCCAGGCTCTGAGCTGTCAGTGCAGAGCCCAAGGTGGGGCTCAAATCCATGAGCCGTGAGGTCATGAACTCAGCCCAAGTCGGCACTTAACCAACTGAGCCACCCCAGCATCCCTGTCATTGACTGTTAAGTCAATGTTCTTAATGAGTAAACTCAAGAGCATGTGGGAATGTCTGTATAAATGTTAAATGAATATTGCATAGTGCAGTAGTCCTCAACCCTAGCAGTGCACACAGCTTTTAAAACATTTGTTTTTACAGGGCACCTGGGTGGCTCAGTTGGTTAAGCATCGGACTCTTGGCTTCAGCTCAGGTCATGATGTCATGGTACATGAGTTTGAGCCCTGCCAGCGCTGAGCCTGCTTGGGATTCTCTGTCTCCCTCTCTCTCTCTGCCCCTCCCCCACTCGAGCTCCCTCTCTCTCTCTCTCTCTCTCTCTCTCTCTCTCTCTCTCAAAGTAAATAAACATTTAAAAAATTTTGTTTTTACTACAAATATCTAAATACAGAGTCATTGGATTTCATATTCAACATAGACCCACTAAATTAGAACCTTCAGAATCAGGCTTCAGCATGTGTTGGTTTTTTATGTTTGTTTGTTTCATATTTTAATAGTTTTTATTTGGAAATAGTTTAAGACTCACAAGTGTTAACAGAGTTCCCATGTATTCCTCCAGTTTCTCTCATTGATATCTTACATAATGCTAGTATATAGTCAAAACCAGGAAATTGCTATTGGAATAATACTATTAACTCAGGTACAGAACTTATGTGCATTTTTTTCTTGTTTCATAGTTTCATGAAATTTATCACGTGTAGGGTTGTATAACCATCACCACAATCAGGACGTAGAGCTGCTCTGTCACCATAAAGGAACTCCCTTGTGTTACTCCTTACACACCCTAACCTGAACCCCTGGCAACCACTAATCTGTTCTCCATCACTATAATCTTACCCCTTTGCGATTGTTATATAAATTAAATCATATAATATATAACTTTCAAATTGGCTTTTTTCATTCAATATAATGCCCTTGAGATCCATCCAAGTTATTCTTTGTATCAGTAGTCTTTTCCTTTTCGAGTATTTTTTTTAAAGCTATGCGGGAATCCTCTTGTACAATCAGGGTTGAGAATAATATAAAATAATGGGATTTAGGCTAAAAAAGAATAATAGCAACCCACAGTTGTATCACATTTTTATGAAATTTAATACACTGATGGCCCATGCTCAGTCACCTTTCTTCCTAGATCTTTCATAATCATATCTGCACAGTGTTGAGCCTACAAAGTATATGTCCATCTCTACTATAGTATCCCCTGCCCTCTGTTTTTAGATTCACTGATAATCTAGTATCATAGACTCTTAATGCTACCAAACATGGATGTTTATTTGCAGGTAACAAAAACACAACTCAGACTAGACCATGCATAAAATAGAATTTCTTGGCCTTTTAACAGAGAAACCCAAGCAGGATTTGGCTCCAGGGCTTTCAGTGTAGCCACACTTGCTCTCAGTGAGTTGGCCTAATTGTTTACTCCTGCAACCAGGCTTACAGGAGAGGGGAAAAGAATAAAAGTTGTCCCAGACTGCTCTATGTGGCTGTTACCTCCAGCTTAGAAATCTCAGAGGGGGAAAAAAAAAAAAAAAAAGCTATGTTCTCCTTACATCCTTATATAAAATCCTAGAGAAGAGCCTGGTTAGCCAGGCTGGAGCATGTGCCCAATCCTGGGCTGATTATTATGGCCTGGAGGATGGGGACAATGTGATGGGACATGCAGGATGGCTGCAGTGATTTGCAGGAACCCCCCCCCCCCCCCCCCCCACCCAGAACAACATGAAGTGAGACAGGGACATTCTTGAGAAAAATGGTTTCTGTTACTGGAGGGAGAGCAGAGATACTGGGCAACCACATGTGTCTACAATGGTGTTGCCAAGCTGAGCACCGTAAGAGAGACACTGCAATATAAGACATGCTTTGTAATTTTAGGAAGTTGATTGTCAAGACCTAATCACATGAAAAGTTGATAATTCAACAAATCAAAGATGTGAGAAATAACTGGAATGAAGGGTAGGTAGCGTAAGAGGTTGGACTGGGGAGAAAGCTCACTATGTGTGTGACTTGAGTACTGAAAAGGCTCGTAGCCTGTGTACAAGTCCTGAGCCACCTCTCACAGTCCGCTCTGGCAGACAGAGATGGAGCTTGGCTGCAGGTCTCGCTCTATCTGTGTAGTCCTCTAACCTATGTGGGCTTTTATTTTTTTGTCCGGGCAGGGAGGCTATCATTATGGGAATGTTATGTGGAAATTGAATGAGACCATTGACAGACAAGTACTAAACAGCTGCCCCCTTACTCCACAACTGAAACGGCTAAACCACGAAGATCTGCACATGAAGAAAGAAGGTTTGAGAGTGAAGAAAGCATTTTCTGCTGCCTCTTTCCCAAGGGAGAGAACGCCAGCATCCAGAGAGGGACAGGAAGACAGGAGCAGAATAATGTGCTAATATCACTTGAATATTCCCTCACTGTCCTATTTTAGGAACACAAAATGCTCTTTTCTGTCACTTTACCTCCCCAGTTGCCTATTGTATGGCCCAAGTGTGATGACAGGAACAGACTGTCTCAAGACCCAATGGTGCTGTGAGTTCCCTCTCATTAATTACGGAAAAGTGTACCCCTTTAAAGAAAAGATTGGCATCTCCTAAAAGGGTATATCTTTTAGATAACTCTAATAAATAGGTCATAGTGAAGAAGAAAAAACAGTCTGTGGATACTTGTGATTGTTTTTCCTCAAATGCACAGATATTGGGGCAGATATTCTGAATAAAGAAGAGCAATTCCAAGAGGAAATACTCAAAGAACGCATTGCAAAAGCAGAAGCTGATGTGTGGGTGCAGGTAAAAGAAACTGAATATCAACCTAAATGCATCTTTAGAGTTCTTTCACTTTTTGGATTTGTCTGAAACAATAAGCAGAACTGATTTTGAATCCTGGCTATCTGTGGGACCTTGGGCAAGTTCTCCAACTCTGCAGTCTTGGCTTCTTCAAATGTAAAAGAGGAACAATAATATTCTATAGGACTGTTGAAAGAGTTCAGTGAAATAATGTCAGGTGCATAGGAGCTGCTTAGTAAGAGGCAGACACCATTAGGAGCTCCCTTCCTTCTAAATTGCCCCTATGTGTGGATGACTCCTGCTTTTTTTATTCTCATCGGCTTAAAACTTCAACAACAAAAAAAGACACCCTTGTTGATAATTGTTTATTATTGCTTAAATTTAATATGTAGACCATACATTTGTGCAGTGTGAAATACCCCTGACCAAGTGCTCTTTTTTTTTTTCCAAATGCTGCATTATCGCCTACTCTCCTTGCTCTCTTCTCTCCAAAGTCCTTGATACCTTGTCCCTGTGACTGCTGAGGGTCATAGGGGCAATTTGAGTGTATTGAGGTTCATAGTCAGATCCCAGACACTTAAGCAAAATCTCAATCCTCCAACCTCCACTTCTTCCTGAAGAATAACATAAATGACTTCCTGAAGAGAATTATGCTCCATGAGGGCAGGACAAGCCACAGTGCTTAGAGCATTATTTCTCAGTTCCTTTATAACATAGACGTCATAGCAAATGGTGTTGGAACTGTCCAGCATTAGTACCAGCACAAGCTTGGTATTAAAGTACTTTGAAAGTGCAAAATGCACCAAGTGCAAAGGATATATGAATAAAAATCTTAGTAGTCCTCTATCTTTATCAATAATAGTAAAATTCAAATTAATTGCAAACCATCAATTATACACCCTAATATAAGGCAATGCTTTTGTGAGTAATCTACAATTTGAATGTCATCATATCTAATGATCTGGGCACTCTCTTCAAATAAAATAATAGAACCTCTTTCTGAACACCTGATGCAGGGAATCTGGGATGGTGCTCAGCCTCCTTTCTCAGCAAATTCTTGCTTTGTGCATCTTTCCACTTCTCTGTATTTTCCAGATTTTCTGCGATGAGCATACATTACTTTGATAGTCAATCAAGCAAGAAATAAAGTGCCAAATAAAAGACAACCCAGCAGCTTATACTAAAACCCTCTTTAGCAGTTCACAAAACAGTGATGTTAGCCATGTTAGGTTGGGATGTGTTAGGGCATCTCTGGCTAAGGCAGCCAGTTTTCTGGGAGAGGTTTGAGATGGGAACGGAGCAAGTGATGAGGGGCCCCATCGTGGTTGCTAATTTTCAGTAAACATGAAAAATGTATGTTAATATAAGTGTATATATTAATATATAAATATTTATAAATTTGGACTGTTTCTTTCAAAGGCTGATAAACGCCAAAAACAAGCAATCGAGAAGGCACTTGAAGAAGCAAATGACAAACACAAAATGAATATTCAGATTCTGGAAGAAGAACATCAAAAAGACTTACAGGTTTTTATAATGGCTTGTTTGTTGTCTTTTTAAGAGTACATACATCAGTGGAAAGCTCTGGCAAAGGGAGAAGAGAAAAACAAAATCTGTAAAACCTTGATGGGTGTCTCCTGGAGGTTGGTCAGGAGACCCAGGATTTTCACAGAAGAGATGCTAGGCTCACAGATGAGAGGCAGCAGTGATGAATGGGTGCAGGAGAATCTCTGATGTATTGAACCCAAACCTTGATGGGGTTTCAAGGCCCAAAGGAGCCATCCTGCCTGCCTTACCCACCACATCTCTTGTGCCAGCCTCTCTTCTCTCTCATGGCCCTTTTCTGGGTCCTCAAACCTGAGTGTTCCACCTCCTTCCCACCTCAGGGTCTCTGTCAGAATGTCCTTCCCCCACCTCATCAGATTTAGCTCAAACATCACTACTTTACCTGAATCACTCTGCCCTTGACACCCTGTCCCCTTTTACACCCATCACTGCAGTTAAATAGACTGTGTGATTACTTGTTGAATGTCTGACCTGCACACGACTATAGCCTCCATTAGGGCTTGTCTCTCATTACCACTCTAGCCCGGTGTCCCATACAGGGCCTTGACTTAGAAGTGCTCAAGTTGGTGCTGGATGAAGAAATAGGCTGTTTTCTTCCTTCTCCTGGGCTCTCTGATTGCATCCTTTTCCCTAAATTTGCATTTACTGCAATACCAAGAGGGACCCTGAGCTGCTACTGAATATTTCCTGCAGTGCCAAAGGTCATAAAACAAAGGGTCCTCTTTGTAACCTGTAACCTGTTCGAACACACGATTGTAGGGAACTAGCAAACTTTCCAGGCAGAGGCCCAGGAATTCATTATTTAGTTCAGTACCTCAGTTACAAAAGCTGATCAAAGGAAAAGGATATAGAACTATTACATGTTGGCCACAGGAGGTATAGGCAAGGACATGGTATAGATGTGACAATTCATGGTCAGAGGCTGGAGGGAAAATGGCAGAAGTCTGGCCCCAGGTTTGGCCTAACTTAATAAGAACATAATTAACAAACAGTTCAGGGACCACTGGCCCCATTTATTCATTGTTTCAGCAATGAGCACCTACTGTATATCAGATCCTTATTTAGTCCTCAGGAAACTTGGCAGCAAAGGGAGCTTTGCTTCTGGTTCCTAAAGGATAGTGGGATCCTCCCTGCTTGGCACCAGTGGCCTGGTTCCCAAGAGGTTGGCTGCAGTGGTCCACACCCATTCCCTTTTTCAGTTCAAAACATGAAAACATTTCTAGCATGTCTAGGCAGGCCTACTGTTCAGCTGACATCTGCCAGGATGACCATAAGCATTTAAATACTTCTCTATAGGGCGCCTGGGTGGCGCAGTCGGTTAAGCGTCCGGCTTCAGCCAGGTCACGATCTCGCGGTCCGTGAGTTCGAGCCCCGCGTCAGGCTCTGGGCTGATGGCTCGGAGCCTGGAGCCTGTTTCCGATTCTGTGTCTCCCTCTCTCTCTCTGCCCCTCCCCCGTTCATGCTCTGTCTCTCTCTGTCCCAAAAATAAATAAAAACGTTGAAGAAAAAAAAAAAAATTTAAATACTTCTCTATCAGTTGATAGATAGTCACTCGCCAAGCTCCCTAACACCTAAGTCACCCTGGCTGCTTCCCCAGTCTCCAAGACCTCCCCCAATTAAAAGGGCTACCCCTTTAAATTGGTGGGAAACTCCAAAGCTGGACCCTGCCCCAATGCTGCAGCCAGAGTATGCACATTTAAAAATTTTTTTTGTTTATTTATTTATTTTTGAGAGAGAGAGAGACAGAGTAAGCAGGGAAGGGGCAGAGAGAGAGGGAGAGAGAGAATCCCAAGCAGGCTCCTCACTGTCAGCATGGAGCCCAATGTGGGGCTCCAACTCACAAACGGTGAGATCATGACTTGAGCTAAGTCGGACACTTTACTGACTGAGCCACCCAGGTGCCCCAGTATTTTGAATATTGCTCCTGGCATTATGTTGTACAGATAGAAGGATAATTTAGCTGTGATGCCTGTTTCAAGGAGCTCACATTGACTGTACCTCATACTGTCTTTGAGTGGAGTTGGTACACTTAGTGCTAAAGTAGAGGAAGTCCTAAGAAAATGGAAAGGGGAAAAGTTACAAGGAGGTTGACCTTTCTAAAATAGTTGTCTAGGGTTTGGGAACTCACATTTATACTGCCATCTCAGGACATTTTTTATATAACAAAAGAGTGATTTCTCTAAGAGGGATGCATAGGATTGTTTCAACTGTAGGATACCCAGACATAGACATCAGTACTGCTTCTCGGGGGGGTGTCTATGAACCACCTACCTCAGAATCTGTTCACCTGGGAGCTTAACATGCAGATTCCCAGGCTCCACCTGACCTACAGAGTCAGGGGCAAGGTTTTTAACCAGCATTCTGTCTGATTCTTCTGTGTATTAAAGTTTAAGATTACCAATATGTAGAGCAGAAAACCAAGCCCTTCTAAAACCAAATATCATTCAATTCTGGTATGTAGAAATCACTATGTATTACTCTTTTATAACATTAAGAATTTGGCGTAAGTCTCAGATGCTTGCTGTTGAGTAAAATTTCAAGATCTTACCCAATGAACAGACATTATTTTGAAAAGATTTTTATATTAACTTATTCAAATACAATAATATTAAAAAGCAAATGATGAAATGGAACCTAAGGTAAAATCAGAGTAGAAAATATAATGAAGTCAGGAGTGAATTTAAAACTTAAAATTGTATGTGTGCATGAGTTCCTGTGCAATTTTCACTATTTGGGCCTTGAGCTTTCTGGCAGTCAATGCAAAGACAAAAATTCAATGAATCACCATATCCATTAGGTAAAAACAAATCAGATAGAGAGGCCCAGATATTCCTGCATGTGATAGCTGAGAGAAACTTCTCCTAAGGGAAACGTTGTGTCATAAATGTCTGTCAAACATCTGCACAGTAAATATGATGGGTTTCATGAGGCTGTTTCTTACAATATCTCAGTATATGAGCTGATTTACTCAAAATGCATTTCAGTAAAAGTAATTTAACTGGGAGGCTTTCCATTGAATAAGAACACTGCCAAATAGTCAGTCACTGAATTATTTTTGTAGCTTTAAATATATATCCCACATGCTTTGTGAGGCAGTAAAATGATTTTGCTTTTAATACATCATTACATAAAGGAAGGACTCCATTTTAGTTCTTTGAATCCAAGTTCAGAACCCAGCCAAAATAAAGGGCTGGGGTGTCATTTTTAAATTCTATGATTCAAATAAAAATATTTTATGTACTACTTCATTTATCTAAAGCTCAACCATTCAGCCCTTTCAATTACTGAGAATACACTTGAAAACCCAGAAATAATTTAAAATATCCCCTGGGAATTTAAATAAAGGCCTCTGACTACAAGACAGAAACTCAGGCTAATTACTCATAGCAGAACCTTTCCATTCCCCACTCAAATGTTATTTACACTTACTTGATAGCCTGAGCCCAACAGATGTGGCTGCTCAACTTCACAAATCCAAAATCGATTAAATGCCAGAAACTAGAAATGACAAAAAGGAGCTCACAGACAGCAGTTAGAACAGAGAGTTCTCAGCACAATAGCATGTGAAGAACAAGAAACATTACAAAAACCAGGTATCAGATCTCCAAAAGCAAAGCAGTCTGGGGTCATTCATAACCGAGACAGGGAACCCAATAAACTTGAACGATTACTAAGTGTAGTACAAAGTATTTAGCTCAATACAATCATTCTCCTTTATCTACCAGTCTAGATCACCAAGAAATGTTAAAGTGTGTTCACTCTTCTCTTTTTATGAAGTAAGGTAGACGTCACAGACATTTAGAAATATTTCCATTCAAAATGTTTTATTACCAAAAAGTTCTAGTCCTTTAAGAGACAAAGCCTTCTGTAGCATGGAAACCTAGCTGGCATTTCTAAACAGCCAATGTTTCCCTTAAAAATTTTTTCTAAATACATGAACTGAGGCCACTCTGGAGAGATTCTTAAAGTTGTTTTCTGTTGTTTTATTCATTTTTAAAAAAATTTTCACCCTTGGGGCGCCTGGGTGGCTCGGTCGGTTAAGCATCCGACTTCGGCTCAGGTCATGATCTCACGGTCCGTGAGTTCGAGCCCCGCGTCGGGCTCTGTGCTGACAGCTCAGAGCCTGGAGCCTGTTTCAGATTCTGTGTCTCCCTCTCTCTCTGCCCCTCCCCTGTTCATGCTCTGTCTCTCTCTGTCTCAAAAATAAATAAATGTTAAAAAAAAAATTTAAAAAATTTTTTTTCACCCTTGAAGTAGCCAAAGTGAGAAGTTGAAGACTTTCTTTCTCTTGAAAAAAACTGTAGTCTAACAAACATTTTAATTGTTGAGACACTTTTTTCTGCAAAGCTAAAATGATTTCAGTTTCCCATGAGATGTAGAGTTCAAAAGAAAGAGAGAGAGAAAGCAAGCAGTCGTGCTCACTGTAATTAGAAGGTGGTACGGGGTGTCTGGAATGAAAATACACTGATGAATCTCTTGAAGGACCCTAGCATCACGGCCAACAATGAAGCAAGAAACTGACTGACATTAAGAACCCTGTTTTCTGTTCCTAGTTCTTTGACTGACTCACTATGAGAAATAACTTAATTTCTTTATGCTCTCTTGTTATCCCTGAAATAGAGATACAAATTTATGTTCAAATGAAAGTTTTGAAACTCTAGACAGAATTGATTGTTGCCTCCTTTCTTGCATAAAACACTCATTGCATGATTAAGTTGCTGGTTTCCTCCATGAGACAGTGAGTCCTTGAGGAGGAAGATTCTAGCCTTCTTATGTTTGTAGTGTGTGGGCCCAGCATGGTGCCTGGCACACAGCGGAGTTGGTTGGCATTTCCAGAATGGTTACAGGGTTTTCTTTGAGAATCTGTTTTTCTTGAGTCCTGGTTTGACTAGTGCCTCCTCACTTTACTTGGCCAAAGGCATCCACAGGTCCTTCTGCCCTGGAGTAATGGAGCATTTGTTCCTGTCCCTTTAGTGAACAAGAGAGAACCCCTCAACGCTAGTGAGCTGGAATGCCCAAATGGCAGGAGGACCGGCCAGCAAGCTCCTGTGGCTAGAGTAATGGGCAACTGTTAGCTCTCTGAGTTCAGGCCTCCCCCAGCCCCCACACCCAGGAGACACTTTGGAGGCACAGTCATTATTTCTGTCATTTTCCAAGACTGACTTCCTAACAGAATCATATTATGTATTTCTAATTATGTGTAAAGATAATATGACACTATAGGATTTGGGACAATCAAGGAAAAAGAGACAGACCTATTTTCCCTTTTTTCATATTCCCTTCTAATATTACCTAAATAAATATTTATGCTATATAGTTTGCACATTTCTGGTGCATCATATAAATGAAAGTTTTCCATATTATACACACTCTTCTTTTAAATCATCAGTGTTCACAGGTGCACATTCCAGCAGGTTAATGAACTATGATTTGAATAACCTCTTAGTGTGCATTTTTAGACATCAAAGCTGTAACATCTAAAGCTGTCAAACTGTTTCTCAAAGGAAATGGCAGCTAAAACCAAGATAGAGATGCACCAAAACATGGAAGATGAACTGCAGAGAGAACACCTGGCTGCAGAACAGCGCATGGTGCATAGAATCCAAAGGATTATGATGGAGTGCCACAGGGAGAAGGTCCAGGCTGTGGAGAAGGCCAGGGCTGAAGAGAGACAGATGGCCCAGGAGGCAATCCAGGCCCAGAAAAGGTATTCCAGAGAACACATTTGCAAATCAGTATCTTACTCTGGCCAAATCAACTTGGTGAAAGGGATAAGGTTGAGGCACATATTTCCCAGGGGCATAGAGAGAGGGAGACACAGAATCTGAAGCAGGCTCCAGGCTCTGAGCTGTCAGCACAGAGCCCAATGCGGGACCCGAACACACAAAGCACGGGATCATGACCTGTGCCAAGTCAGACACTCAACCAACTGAGCCATCCAGGTGCCCCTGTGTTTCTACATTTTTTAAAGTTTATTTATTTAGCCTGAGAGAGAGAGAAAAAGCACGAGTGGGGGAGGTGCAGAGAGAGAGGAAGACAGAGAATCCTTTTTTGCATAAAACATTCATTGCACGATTAAGTTGCTGGTTTCCTCCACGAGACAGTGAGTACTCAAGGAGACTCTGAGCTGTCAGCACAGAGCCCAACGCAGGTCTCAAACTCACGAACTGTGAGATCATGACCCAGGCTGAAGTTGGATGTTTAACCGACTGAGCCACCCAGGCGCCCCTGTGTTTTTACATTTTTATTATGGAATATATCAAGCATAGAGAACAATATATAATACATTGTATAATGTGTGTGTATGTGTGTGTGGTTTAAACAAAAATAACATGAATATTCAATGACCTACCACTCATCTGAAGAGACCGAAAATTGCTAACACTTCTGAAGTTCCCACGTGAAGCTCCTCAATCATTTTTCCTTCCTCTCCACACCCTCAAGAGATAACTACCATCGTAAATAATGTGTTTTTCATTCTGATTCTCCAGTTTTAAGAGGCTAAGGAGAGAAATCAACAAATATTTCCCCATAAACACATAAAAGGCAATCTTCACATTCTCTAGCTGATATCATACACTAGCATGGATGTGTTACTTTTGGTCTTTTTCTTATTACACAAGTAATACACACTATAAATAAAATTGACACTTTGGAAATATATAGGGCAAAACTTGTTAAGCCCTGACTTACTGCTTTCCTACCCTCTCTGTCTCCCAAGGACTTCATTTTAAATAATGGGTCTGTCTCATTCGTGCCCTTTTGATGAACTATAGCCTTATGTTTTACATAATCACAAATAATTTTTGCATAAATCAGATCACTTGTTTTTAAGAGTACCAACGTAATCATTTTTTTTAAATGTTTATTTATTGGGGCATCTGAGTAACTCAGTTGGTTAAGCGGCTGGCTTTGGCTCAGGTCATGATCTCACGGTTTGTGAGTTTGAGCCCTGCATTGGCTCTGTGCTGACAGCTTGGAGCCTGGAGCCTGCTTTGGATTCTGTGTCTCCCTCTCTCTCTGCTCCCCCCCCCACTTGTGCTCACGCTCTCTCTCTCTCTCTCAAAATAAGTAAACATTAAAAAATTAATGTTTATTTATTTATCTTGAGAGACAGAAAGAGAGAGAGAGCAGACATGAGCACAAGCAGGAGACAGGTAGAGAGAGAGGGAGAGAGAGAATCCCAAGCAGGCTCCACCCTTAGCACAGGGCCAAATGCAGGGCTCAATCTCATGACTGTGAGATCATGACCTGAGCTGAAATCAAGAGTTGGATGCTTAACCGACTGAGCCACCCATGTGCCCCCAAAGTAACCATTATTACGTATGCAATGAACATTTGATGGAATTGGCCAGTTTTAACAGGACAACAGTCAGGATCCCTAGTGATTATTGGGACCAAGAGAAAAACCACAGTTTCCAAGTGTTAAGTGACTTGCCTAAGATCACATGGCTGCAGCAGCAGAACCAGGACTGAAACCTCTGTTTGCCATCTAGTCTAGGACTTGTCTCTTTTGCTTTGCTCTTTGACTTAACGAACAAATCGATTTGTGTGTAGTTAATGGGTAAAAATCTTCTTTGTTAGAACTGTTTAGAGCAGGGCCAAAGGTAAAGTCCTCTAAGAATGTTATTTTGCAGATAAGTAAAAATGAGGGCTGCAGCTGTGGCTGTTTCAGTGGTACCTTTCTTCATGCATAGGCTATAAATCATCATTGAGGCAGAAGAAAAAGGTAAAAGAGGATTCTGGGAGAAAGGTAGAGAAGGCGGTAACTCCCAAATGAGTTGTGGTCCAATGTGGTGAAAGGTAGTATCCTCCTCTCCCTTCTCCCCACCCTACATCTACAGGAACTCCGCTCCTCCTATAGGAGCTTCTGGAACCACTCCTCATGTACCTGCAGTGTCTGCTCCTTCCCTCACTCTGTTGCCTTCACCACCACAACCCCCCTGCTGCCCCAGCCCTTTCTTCTCTGAGGTTTGAATAGAATATTTTCGATGACTGCCTTTTATTAAATCAGTTGACTAAAATTAGGGAACTGCCATGTCTGTTGTTTACGTGTATCCAACTGGAGTGTCCATTTTGTTCATTAATGTATTCCAAATGCCTGGAAGAGAGCTTGGCACAGGGTATGCATTCTTTAAATATTTATTAAACATGGGGGGCCTGGGTGGCTCAGTTGATAAACATCTGACTCTTGTTTTCAGCCCAGGTCATAATCTCACAGTTCATGAGTTCAAGCCCAGAGTCAGGCTCTTCACTGGCAGCGTGGAGCCTACTTGGGATTCTCTCTCTCTCTCTCTCTCTCTCTCTCTCTGCTCCTTCCCCGTTCCCTTACTGTCTCTCAAAATAAATAAACTTAAAAAATACATTTATTAAACAAAGTTTCAAATCTGTTCTAATTAGCTGAACTCACTCTGCAGTACATCAAATCTTATTTCTAGACATTGCTAGAGTCTAGTGTTCCTTAGAGTATTTGCAGAAACCAATACATGGAGAAGGACCAGTGTTTAGAATTCAACTGTAGATCTTTTATTTGACTAGAAACTATCAAGACTTAAGTATTCCGAACACATACATATTATGACAAATATGTTAAATTCACAGAAAACGTTTTTGTGGACTGGGGTGATTAGATTCTAAATAGATTATCTAGGAGACACCACACTCTTTCGCTGGAAGGAAGGAGGGGAGGAAGAAAAAAAAGCAAGCAAGCAAGCAGGCAGGCAAGCTTTGCCTGGAAAGTTCTTCTAAGTGTTTTCTAGTCCAAGACAAAGGCGTGAATGAAGTGGCTGCTCAGGAATTTTTGTGGTCATGGCTCTAATTCCTAATGATAGCTACCTTTTATTTAACACCTAGCACATGCAAGGCCCTTTGTGTGCTTCTCACTGAATTCTTATATCCCTTCCTGAGGGATTCTATCATTCTCCATATCTTCAGATGAAGACCCTGAGACTTAAGAGAGAGACTGAGCAACCTCATTTAGAGGTCATGTAGAGGAGAGGTGACAGAGTCTGATGTGAACCCTGGTCTATATGATACCAAAGCTTATGACCTTCCATTATACTACCCTTCTCATTTCACCAGAGCTTATATATATATATTTTTTTCAACGTTTATTTATTTTTGGGACAGAGAGAGACAGAGCATGAGCGGGGGCGGGGCAGAGAGAGAGGGAGACACAGAATCGGAAACAGGCTCCAGGCTCTGAGCCATCAGCCCAGAGCCCGACGCGGGGCTTGAACTCACGGACCGCGAGATCATGACCTGGCTGAAGTCGGACGCTTAACCGACTGCGCCACCCAGGCGCCCCTCACCAGAGCTTATAAAGTGTCTTCTGTGGATATGGTCCTGAGTTCTAGTGTGAGGAAATAAGGGTATTTCTTCAACATGTGAAGTAATTAAAGCATGGTTGCCCCACAGACCAAGGCTAGATGGGCAGGTACAAAGAACATGTAAGTGCTGGGAAAGCCCTGGAAAGGTCAAGTAACAAGGGTGCAAGCTGTGTGGTGAGGTAGGTTTGTTGGAGGCAGTTAGTCTTGGGTTGGGACTTGGAAGGAAGGAGATCCCATTTGTGAAAGACTGAAAAGAGTGAGGACAGCATGAGCAAACATGTAGAGGGGAAAGTGGGTAGTGTAATGATGCAGAACCAAGGGAAGGTTAAGAATACAAATAACCCTGAGATATAATGCACTGCTGAAGGGTGGTCTCTGGAGATGCCCCCACAACCAAACCTATATAATGCCTGTCGCCTCAGTTTGAGGGTATCACTAATCCTGCAAGACCAGCTTTCCAATTTCCTTTTATTTTTTTAATTTTTAATGTTTATTTATTTTGAGAGAGAGAGAGAGACAGGCAGAGAGAGAGAAAAAGAGAGAGAGAATGAGTGGGGGAGGGTCAGAGAGAGAGGGAGAGAATCCCAAATAGGCTCCACGCTGTCAGTGCAGAGCTGATGTGGGACTTGATCCTACAAACCATGAGACCATGACCTGAGCCGAAATCAAGAGTTGGATGCTTAGCCAACTGAGCCACCCAGGTGCCCTTTGGTTCCCAGCTTCTCAGGCGGATAATCAGAATATATTTTCCTTACAACACAATGGTTATAACTGATTAAAATAGTGCTAACAGTCCTATAGTTCAAGTGAAAAAATGGGTTAATAGCTTATTGTGGGCACATCAGGCAAATTTTCAACATCACCCTAAATACTTGATGACAAATGAGTTTGGGGAACAAATCCCTTTATAATTTAGGAATTGAAGAAATGGGGAAATGAAGCATTGGTTCATCCTGTCTTAAGAGAGCCAGGATTTTTACTGATAGACATAGAAAGGAGGTTGAAAAGTGTACTCTTAGCAAAATATATGGGGAAAATGAAAAGTTCACTTCATAGGTAGAAGGGAAAGAATGGACAGATATTATTCTTTAAACTTGTGAGCTATATATCTTGTACCATTTCAACAGTATCCCCAAAAAAGTGAGAGAAGGAGCTAAGAGAGGCCCTAAAGAGCAAAGCACAAATTAATTGCTGGTATGGTTTTTCCATGCTTCATTTTTTCCCCAAGAGTCTAATGAGGTTGGATTATTATATATTCGTCTCTATTTTTTATTTAGCAATATACGTTTTTAAAGTTTTTTTTCATCTTTATTTATTTTTGAGAGACAGACTGCGAGCAGGGAAGGGGCAGAGAAAGAGGAAGACACAGAACCCAAAGTACGTTCCAGGTTCTGAGCTGTCAGCACAAAGCCTGAAGTGGGGATCAAACTCACGAAAACAAGTTCATGACCTGAGCCAAAGTCAGACACTTAACTGACTGAAACACCCAGGCACCCCAATAATCTATTTTTCTTCTCTGAGAACCCATTTTATAAAATATCAGACTGAATCATACACACACACACACACACACACACACACACACACACACACATATATAGGACACATACTAAAACTATTCAAAAATAGTTCATTTCTGGCCAGCACTACATGTAAATATGGTATGTAATTCTGAAATTCCAAGAATAGAGCCTCATAAAATTAGAGATGGCAGATAGACCCCACCACTTACAGAAAGAAGCATAAACATTCACATCATGTCAGAGGGGCATTGGAGGTCATCGAGTTGAACCTGCCATCCCTTTTGTTGGATGCCTGCCAGGCACTGGGGAGCCTCCCGAGTGCTTCTGTAACAGGAATTTTGCAGGTGGTTGAAGTGGTTGGTTAAAATGCCAAATGTCTCTTCTTGTCATGTGCTTCCTAATGTGGATCCAAAATGTGCTCAGTCTCATCCTCACATCCACACTTGGCTTCTCACTCTCTGCGTAGTGATCCTTAAGAGACTTGAGAAGAGAGAGAGATTGTCCAAGCTTTCATTTGGAGGAGAAGAGAAAAAAACAAAAAGTACTAAGCCAGTTACTTTAGTCTTTCCTCATATGATATGATTTCTAGGCCCTCTTTTGAGATAAAAAAATTATGGGTAATTTGTATTAAAAAATACTTAATTTAATTTTTTTTAAGACAGAGAGTGAGTAGGGGAGAGGGGCAGAGGGGGAGAGAGAGAGAATCTAAAGCAGGACAGGTAGTAAGTACTTAGTAAATGTTAACCCTTGTTATTAACCATAGATACAGCCTGACTGGTGGGAAAAGGGAGAAGAGAGACATAGCATTGCAGCTAGAGAGGTGAGGGGACAACTGATGTTTACCTCAAGATTGGGGAAGTTGGCCACGTTTGAAAGTCAAGTTGAAAGAATTGGAGACAATGAGAGAAGTGTATCTTAGAAGAAAGCAGTTAGAAGAAGGGCAGATGCCAAGTCTTGGGAAGATTGTGTTAGACTAGGAGGTGGGGGGGGAGGATTTCATTAACAACCCTAAATATTTGAATCACATCTGTAAATTACTTGATTCTCAAATCTTTAGAGGTTCTACTCAAACTAGGTTAACCAAAGGCATCCACCAGAGTATATTGCAGCAGCTAAAAGCTTTCGACCTGGACTCAGACTGCCTAGGTTGCTCATTTTGCCACTTTACTAATTAAGTGAAATTGGGCAAATTATTTGACCTCTCCGAGCCTGTTTCCTCATCAGTAAAATAGGTGTAATAATAGATCTACCTCATAGGATTTGTTCTGAGGAAATATTGTGCAAATATATATATATGGGATGCTCATTTACTTGCCTTGCCTTGGACACGGTAAGAATTCAAAACAGTTGGCTGCTATAAATTTCATATAATTAAATACATAACAACCAGAGGTCTGTGAACTCGTTCAGCAGTGGTTCTCAAAGTGTGATCCCAGGACTGCTCAGTGTCCCTAACACCCTTTCAGGGGGTTCTTGAGGTCAAAGTATTTTCTTGATAATACTAAGATGTTATTTGCCTTTTCACTCTCATTACCTCACAAGTATATTGTGGCATTTTCTATGGTTTTATGATGTGTGATGTCACAACAGATTGAAACAATATGAAAAATCCATCTTCCTTGCTTTTAAGCTAGACAAGTAAAGAGTTTACAAAAAGAAATGTGAAATTATGCCACTTTTCTCACCAATTAAAAAAAATTAAGTTTATTTATTCATTTTGAGAGAGACACAGAGCAATCAGGTGGGGCAGAGAGAGAGAGAGAGAGAGAGAGAGAGAATGCCAAGCAGGATCCACACTGTCAGCACAGAGCACAAAGTGGGGCTTGAACTCATGAACCATGAGATCATGACCTGAGCCAAAACCAGAGTCAGACGCTCAACCAGCTGAGCCACCCAGGCACGCCTTCACCATTTTTTTTTAATTTGGAAAATACATTTTTCATAAAAGTAAGTTAATTACATTTAATAGATTTAATCATACCTTACATAAATTTATGAATATTTTTTAAATGTCTCACTTTTAATTATAATACTATCAGTGCCACTAGATATAATCCATATAAACAAAAGTCGTTTGGGTTCTTTGATCATTTTAAGAGTGAAAAGGTGTTTTGAGACCAAAAGGTTCAGGCGACTATCATAGAGTATTGTTCAGATAAAACTATGAGTACAATTTCCTCCCCTCTGGCTAAAGGGAAGTGCTGGGCTGATACAGAGAAATACTTTCTCTAGGGGTTTGGAACTCTGACCCTACTTTTCTTCATTTTTACACATTGCATTCATATTTTTCTAGCCAGAGAGGACTCAGGTCCCTAAAACTACCAGATACTCGGCTAGTAGGCCTCGCCTTAGCCTCCAGCAGGAAACTCAGTGAGTGACCTCCCTGCTTGAAAAATATTTTTGAATTGTTGACAGTTAATGCAGTCCAAAAGCTCATTTCTACCTGCCTGTCTCAGACTGGTGGCTCATCTAAACAATGCAATAATGTCTCATCCATCTTAGGTGAAAGGCAACATCTTTTTGTTTTTAGCAGCTAACCCATCTAACTTATAAATCCATATCTTTTGTAGAATGGCCATGGAGGAACTTTTGAATACTGGTATAACAGCTATGAAGGATCAAAAGAAGAACGTGAGCCAACTGATAAAAGAAAAAGAACATGAAATGAACGTCTACTATTGTATGGCTCAGAGGCAGAAGCAAGAAGAGGTTCAGGAAGTGCTCCAAGAGGCAGAGAAGACACATGAGGCCACACTTGGAAATGTGATGGATAAGCTGGTTAACACCCAGGGGGAGCTGCTGTCCATAGTGAAACAACTAGGCATCATGACAAATTGGAAGGATTTCCTGGAGGAGGAATTGCAGGAAACAAGGGCAGCATTTCAAAAATACATCAATTATACATTTCCTAAGCTTTCACCAGGGCATGCAGATTTTCTTCTGCCAGAAAGAAAGAAAACACCTTCCAATCTTATTATTGAGGAGAATGAAACAACTCTTGATTAGAAGAAGTCTTTAACTGAAATTTCACTACAAAGCCATTGTTCTGAAGACTAAATAAATGAACTCAAAAACCATTTATTGATTCCCAGTTACGTGCAGGGTACAACAGGCTGTGGGCATTTTGATGGAAAACCAAAATACTCAAAAAGCACATTCCAGGCTACGTTGAGTTCTAAATCTAACTGAGGAGAGAAAAAAGTAAGAGGGACCAAAACTATTTAGGAGGGGAGAAGGTTTCTTGGAAGAAGTCCAAAGAAACTTCCGTTAACTGGCTTTATTCATGTCTACATCAGACATGTAACTATTTTAGAAATTGTTGCCATTGAAAACAAGTTAAGAGTCATCCTTTTAGATTGTTCCCATTGTGGAGAGGTGTGTTAACGTCCAGTAAAGACTGTTTTTTGGTGAACTGCAACAGCATTGTAGGGAAAAAAAGCAATTTCCCTCAAATCCAGGAAGATAACATTTAAATTCTGGGAGCCCTATATGAAATAATTCAGAGAGGACTCATTTATATTGGTCAGTTGTGAAAGAAAAATACATCTTTATTTATTTATTTCTTTAAACTTTGTAGAGAGAGAGAGAGCATGTGAGTGGGACAGAGGGGCAGAGAGGCAGAGGGAGAGACAGAATCGTAAACACGTTCCACACTCAGTGTGGAGCCCAATGCAGGGCTCAATCCCAGGACCATGACCTGAGCCGAAATAAAGAGCTGGACTCTCAATCACCCAGGCACCCCGAAAAATACATCTTTAGAGGTCAGTCTCCTGCTTCAGGAATAGGAAGTCTTCTTGTATCTATACTCAAGCCCAAGAGTGCTTTGAACCCACCTTCTTTGGGTTAAAATGCAGAAAACTTAAGTACCACAATGCTCAGGATCAATACATGTCAACATCTACTAAATTCGAATGAAAGAAAACCCAAGCCATACTAACTTCTCTAAAAATCTATCCACTCTAATGTAACATCCTTAAATTATTCATCACCAACTTATGTTGGTGGCTTTGAAATAACAACTTGGAAAGCATTTTTCAGTAAATTAACAAGTACCGTTCTTGAGCAAGCCTTAAGTAGATTTGTTTACATTGACCATTCTTCAATTTCCGAATGGTAAAAATGGCAATTTGTTTACAATTGCATAATGGACTACACTCTCCTCAGTATGTAGCTTCCTGATATTGCAGGACCAGAGCAATTCCTACTAACTGATTGCCTGCTTGCTGGAAGTACTAACATTTATATAGTGCTCTTTGCAGCTTTTTCATTTACTTTCTTCTTACAACAATCCATGAGAAAGACAGGACAGGCATCTGTTACCCTATTTTTTTACAGATAACAAAATAAAAACTACTGTGTGTTCAGATATTTACATATGTGAAACACTTTAAAAACATTGATACTCAATCCTCACAATGACTTTTGAAACTAATTATTATTGTCCCCTATTTATAGAGGGAAACTTAGGCTAGGGAGGTTTAATAATTTTTCCCAGAGCACACAACTAATGACAGAGCTAAGGTTCAAAATATTACAAGGCACAGGCACATGGATGCAGTGAGAGAGAGAGAGAGACCTAAGGTTTTTCAGAATCCAGTGGATAATAACAGCAATCAACACTAGGAAGTGCTAGTGTGTGCCAGGCATGCTGAACATGGCACGTAAGAGGACTCATTCATTTTCACAGCAGTCTGTGAAAGGTACAAACCAGTAACACAGTCACAGATAGGTTAACTTTCTAAGTCATGCAGCTTGTAATAGTCACAGCCACAGAGTGTGGGTCTTCAGTCCATGGTTTTAGTCATTATTTTGTTCAGCCTGAACGCCAAGGCTTTGGTGTCTGCTGGGTACTCTGCAAGTCTGTGTCGTGTCTTTGTGGATTCTGTGATGAGGACAGGAAGAACGTGGTATGTTCTCTATGTCATACATTATTTTTGTCTCATAGAAGTCAGAGGAAGTCATACCTAACATTGTGGTATCTGAATTATTGGAGTCATCTACCAGATTCAAATATGAGCACATACCATAGGGGAACAGAAGGAAACTGTCTTCTGAAGGGATTCACTTTATGGCCGCACTTAAGTATGACTCCTTTGGCATCAGTGACACAGTGGGTAATGTGAAAAGAAAGCAGGCAATGTATTTTTGGTTTGGAAAAAGGAACCTAGCTTCTTAGTCTTCAACCAGATTGGAAGAAATGAAATTATCTGTGTTTTTAATATTTTCCTTGTCCATACTACAGTCCCTGCTCCCACCTCAATCCCAACCAACAGCTTCCTTAGAGTTTTCAAAGTAATTCGGATCCATCAGAGGACTTACCTGCCCACTCTCACAAAATGCTAATCATCATCCTGTCATAGGGGGTGATCACAGGAGGTCTATCAGGACAGACTGACCTGATCCCAGGCCCCCATTTGCCACTCACCTCAGAGTCTGGAGTCAGCACCAACCATGGCAGGAAGGTCTTCTTTCACTTCTCTTGTTCTCACTCAGCTTTACCTCTCCCAGGGCCAGACCGAAGGAACGTCATCTTTGCCCTTACCCAAATCCTTCACCCTGATTTGATCACCTCAATCCATAGTTCTTCCTAGTTTGAATGTTTTCCAGATAGTATACACCTGAGAATTAACAGTTCACAGTGGATACATAATGGCCCTAAGAAGCAAGAAAGGCTGATGGTAGACTAAAAATGAGATGTCACTCATATTTCCAGTGCCACATTCTTTTTTTTTTTTCAATATATGAAATTTATTGTCAAATTGGTTTCCATACAACACCCAGTGCTCATCCCAAAAGGTGCCCTCCTCAATACCCATCACCCACCCTCCCCTCCCTCCCACCCCCCATCAACCCTCAGTTTGTTCTCAGTTTTTAAGAGTCTCTTATGCTTTGGCTCTCTCCCACTCTAACCTCTTTTTTTCTTTTTTCCTCCCCCTCTCCCATGGGTTTCTGTTAAGTTTCTCAGGATCCACATAAGAGTGAAAACATATGGTATCTGTCTTTCTCTGTATGGCTTATTTCACTTAGCATAACATTCTCCAGTTCCATCCACGTTCCAGTGCCACATTCTATGGGACCTCTCAGTAGTCTCTTGTTTCTATGGCACTGATAAGGATGACCCTGATGGATTAAAAAATGATACACTGGAAAATATAGCAATGGCCACTTAACTGAGCATGTGCTGGGTATCAGACTGTGTGCTAGGTTCTTTACTAAATCTTGTCTTTTTTTTTTTTTTTTATAAAATTTTCTTTTTAACGTTTATTTATTTTTGAGACAGAGAGAGACAGAGCATGAACAGGGGAGGAGCAGAGAGAGAGGAAGACACAGAATCTGAAACAGGCTCCAGGCTCTGAGCTGTCAGCACAGAGCCTGACATGGGTCTCGAACTCACGGACCGTGAGATCATGACCTGAGCCGAAGTTGGACGATTAACCGACCAAGCCACCCAGGCGCCCCCTAAATCTTGTATTAATGAAATCTGATAGCAACCTGTAAGCTTCCTATGAGGATCCCCACTTTGAAAATGAACAGCCTGAGACTCAGAGAAGCAAAGTCACTTGCTGAAGATCACAGAACTTGTTTGACTTCAAGCCCATGTGTTTCCCACAATTACAGCATGACAGCCTAATTTAGTGCCTGTGTAAACACTGAGTAGCTGCCAATTGTATCAGGGCAAGTCTGAATTATTGTGCAGAATCTTGGCTGTTCCAGTGGTCGTGGCTGGGAGCCAAGAATGAAGGGGTGAAGAACTGGACAACTTTCTCCAATGTGCTTGATGAGCTCTCCCAGATACCAAGCCCCAGGGGTGAATTTACGGAGGGGCATACCCAATAGCTCCCTCCCACCACTCCAAAGTCTAGAAGGGCAGATTCCCCCTGGGGTCCTGAACAGAGATCAATCGCCTGTAGTTCAAAGGTGAGAATCTCCAGGTCAAGTGAAAATTGATAATGAGGTATGTTTTTGAAATCTCAGTGGGACACTTACTCCAAGGTTATCTGGGGAAACTTGATTGAGACTAAATCAGACTATTTTCAAAAAGAAAGATTCCTTGAGTGAACCATTTTTTTTAGCATAATGTGAGTTGAGAACACTTAACTCTCCTGATATCATTTACTTTGAGTACAATACCTAAAGAGACCATTATAGACCTTAGAGACTAAGCCCAATGTAAGTTATTAATATTGGAAACATTTTGGAAAATTCTTTTAAGGATACCTTAAAGAGTACATTTTTTTCAGTTGTCTTAGGTGCTACCTATAAAATAGAAGTGCATGCAGTTCCCATAGTTTCTGATATATAGGAAGCTATATTAATTCCTGGAAGCCATCTGGGAACTTAATCTGGGGACTCTAAGAAATGACTTCAGTTTAATTTTCTAGAAGTCATTCCACCACCAACAACAAGAAATCTTGTTTTTAGAGAAAATAGATCCACAAGCTGGGAAACAGATGCATGGTACCCCTAGGAGAGTTGGAGAAGACCCCACCCATCCTGTCAGAAAGCACAGGAGTTGGGCTATTTAGTAATCAGTGGACCTTTATGTTACAAAGAAGTCACTTTGATGTTTTATCTAACTTGGATTCCGCTTGACCTATTTAAATCTTGCATATTCTAGTTTTGGGGGCCTTATTTACACTGACACCAGATAGTCACTATTTGGCAAAACTTAGATTCACTTACAGATCAGAGGAGTTTGACATTCAGTTGCCACTAATAAACTCCTCTTGCTTGGCTGACATCACTCAGAAAAGGCAAGAAGAAAGCATTGCTGTTTGTGGTCCAGTTATTATAAGCCAGGCAGTGTGTGTGAGTGTTTCACCTGCAGTATTCCACCTCTTCCTCACAGCAACCAGACAAAGAATTTCAGGCACTTTGAGGTTAGGTATTTTGCATAAGGTCACACTACCTGAGAAGTTCGGATGCATTCAACCCATTGCTATCTGATTCCAAATTGCAGGATTGATAATAAGTGGGCTTTACTCTAGTTAGTTCCAAATAAAAAC